TTGAAGATCAAGTGTCACCTAACGCAACACGCGGTTTGCCATCACCTCACATGGTCCAAACAAATAGATCTCGACAAATGGTCACCAGCGATCACATAAAGACGTGTGTTTGAATTGATTTTCACATACTATTTTGAACGCACACGATCTACCTCTCCTCTCTTTGATTTGTCTATCGAAGGAATCAGACCGCTTGCGATCACTTCCTGACAATAGTTCACTTGTTTACGGTATCTTTGTGCGCTATATTACATATTCGCCCATTCACACGTCACAGAGGAACTACAAATGAATGTAAATGATATACAAAGTTACCGAATGTTTATATGGATCCTTTCTAGTTTCAGTTTAAACCAAATTTAACTCTTAAATATGGATGAAAATTCATGTCGAAAGCTAATCCACGTATGCTGTCTAAGATATTTGCTCTCAATTTTTATTCTAAACCAATATAAAGTTAGCTAACTCAACACACCAAGACAGATAACAATAATACAACCTATATTACGACTGGTAAATAATAATCATGATTCTAGCGTCGTAACACATTGTAAAATTAGTTATAAATTGAAGTATTATACATTATGATCTTACCACGTATACAAGGTAGCGCGCCATGTATTATATTATTACCGCTCTCCTCTTTTAATCGGAAGATAAGAGAAATGAAATGTATATTACTTTAAAGTGCTCATGGTTCGAAACAAAAAACAAGCAGATATTTATCGATCTGGAAATGGACTGTTTACATGAGCGATTTCTATTTCTCGTAAAAAATAAAAACATACGGAGACTCTTTACTAAATTCAATAAAAATTTAGACATATAATCTAATATCAATGGGGTGTTAGACACAAGTAGAATTCAACAATATTTGTTTAAAAATAAAAGTGCTATAAGTTGGCTGTGGTGGGGAGAGAATTATATTAACCGAATTATTTACTCTCGCGCACAGTATTTATACCGACAGACGAATAGGTCTGTATTTCAACACACAATACTAACTCTATAGAACTGAGAGAAGATATTAAACTTAATATTACTCACGTGAGAACATATTATCTTATCTTTTTGAATCATACTGAATTATATAATTGTAGAACAAATAAAAATATTGGAAAAATAGCCGAAACAATAGAGATCACTCTTGTTGATTCTATCGTCACAGATGTAGAATGATAACTAAAAGATTAAATAGCTGTCAAAACATTTATGCGAGAGAGTTAAATATTGCGTCCGCTACACACACAGAATATCATCTCCTCAAATATTAAATATTAATCTTTATAAGGAAAATGGAAAAGTGAGTTTTTGTGAATCTACACATTATTTCTATATACTTTTAGATATGAGAAGTTACGATTAGAAGTAGGAGGATAGAGATCATCGGAAGTTAGTGTTGAAACTATTTGTACAGTTTTGAAAATCTCTATAACATTCTTTCTATACTCATCTATTCTTGTCATGCTCTATGAGAATTATAAATCTAACTTATTTAGCCTGAAATTAATTTGGGCGAATAATGCCAAAGCCAACTTTTTTAAATATACAGTGTGGCACAAGATCAGGAGCTATATTATAATCTTATTTGGTTACCCATTTTCATTAGATATATATTGAACTTTATTTATATTAGTTTAGTAATTATATGTCAGGGCTTCACCTATATTTGATTTACTTAGAGTTTTCAAGTTACTATTATTCATTCACAAAATGGTAGTCACTCGAAAGAACATATTCTCACGGAGTACATCAGAATTAGTGTGTGTTGTAATATAAAGATATAATCTCTTAATAATGATTGTATCTAATTATTTCACAACTTATATATGTGAGATAGTTAATGTTTAAAGATACATTCATATTCATAATTATGTACATTGATCTTATCGTATTTTATTTTAATGAAGAAAGTGTGTCTGTCATAATAATGCAACTATACAGCGAGGAACAATAATAAAATATACTGACAGTGAAACAAAAAATATAGTATCAAAGGACGAATATATCTTAACTTAAGACATAGATATATACAAAGTCCAAAGTTATTGTTTAGTGTTTATATATTATGTATATTCAAATTATAATTTGGCCTAATTTATTCCTCATCCACAACTAAGATGCTAATTTTAGTTTTTCTAAGTTTATATGAAATTTGTCGCATATCGGGAGCTGATCGATCAATATAGGTCTAAGAATGAAGAATCATTATCATATTCATAATTAGTTGCACGAGCTGTACTACATAATCACAAGACTTGGTTGGATATCATTCTCTCTGGATATAGATGATCGAGACCTATGGGTTTACTAGTTTCATTTTCATTGTACAAGTATCTCATGGTTCTGTTCGAAGCTCAAAATAGCTAAAATGTTTCTGACATAGCGCGATTATCGATCGTGGTAATATCCTCCAATGGTATGCGGCGCTTAATTACAGCGCAGTGCATCATCAAGGTAGTTCTAAGAGCCCGTATGGATCAGCGCGTCATTCACACAATATATCTAACTGCGCTATGACATGTTTCGAGAACTTCTGTATAACAACGCGTGTCTTCAATCCTTTATTTGATTTGGTCGTTTAACCCGAAGAAGGAGATGTTGCCGACAGGAAAAAATCTTTTCTAATCTAGTGTACTAAATCCTCTATTATCAGATATTAGCTGCATTGTCGAGTCAATCAACTGCAAATATTATGAAAAACTAATGTACATTACTCCTAATACACGTAGTTTTATGTTGTTGCGAGACCGGTATTTTGTAAGAATTACCTAATTAAAAGTTTAAAATAACCATTCTATGAAATTTTGGGTCCAAATAAGAAAATGATGAGTGATGCTTAAAGAAAAGTTTTGCAAATAACAGATATAGATTTTTGATATACTCTTATACAATCTATAGTTGTAAAAAAATTAATACTCTGAAATGTGATTAGTAACTAATAGATGGTATGGAAACAGTTTCAAATGATCGACCTTGGCTAGCAGGCAAACTTCTCGATATTACGTTTCTGTTACCCAAATTGGATTAGTGCGAAGGTTTTTTATATTCTGTCATTCACAAGTCAAAATAACTTAGCTTGCGATTTTAACGTAATTGATTACTTCCAAAACGTATATTTTGCAAACATGATTCAACTCGATGTGACAGAGAAGTTATGTGATAGATTTTAGGGCTTAATGAAGAAGAAGTATA